AGAAGGGCCCCCGCCCGTCAGCGCGGGGTGCGCGGCTCGGCGCCGACAGCAGGGGGCAGTGGAAGGGGACGGGAGCGCTGCGCTCTGATTGGCTGAAGGCGATGAATACATTAAGCTGACGGCAAAAAGCGCGCGTCTGCGCTGTTTTCGCGGGGTTTTGGGGGGTTTTAGACCAACACGGAGGAGCAAAGTAAACGTTTTACATGGGGAGAGGAAAGAGATGTCGATTTGAGGAGGAAAAAACCAAACCTTTTTCCTCACCCGGTGCGAGGTAGACGTGCTGCACTGGAGATATAAATAGCTGCGCACGGCGGAGCTCGGGCTGTGTTGTATGGAAGGAGAGAAGGTTAGCACTCCCCTTGATAAGGATGGAAAAGGTCCTTGTGGCCTATACAACACGCATACGGTTAAGGCACTGCCACCTACTTCGTGGCATCTAACCATGTTTTTTTTTTTAAACTCCTTTTTTCCCCTAATTCAAGCAATTTCAGTCGGTCAGCCGAAGGAGCTGTTGGGCCAGTACCCCAGGGAGGTGTAGTGGAAGGATGAAGGAAACACCTCTGGAAATGGGTGTGGGAAGGGGTCAAGAGAAGCAGCATGAAACAGGTTGAAAGAATAATGTGTATTAATGTGGAAAATCAGAGGCCAAGTGTGGTGAGGAGCTGCTGAGGGAGCTGGGGGTGCTGAGCCTGGAGCAAAGGAGGCTCAAGGGAGACCTGGCAGGAGTCCTGACAGGAGGCTGGAGCCAGGGGGGATCAGTGTGTTCACCCAAATAACAGGTGATAGGACAAGAGGAAATTTGTGCCAGGGGACCTTTAGGTTGGATATTAGGAGAAACTTCTTCCCCAAAAGCTGCAAGCCCTGGAACACACTTCCCAAAGCAGTGTGAAGCCCCATCCCTGGGGGGATTGAAAAGCTGTGGAGAGGTGGTGCTGAGACCTGGTTTAGCGGTGACCTGCCAGTGCTGGGTTAATGGTTAAGACTCTACCATCCTAAAAGTCTCTTCCAACCAAAATGATTCTATGATTCCAAGCTCCAGCTCCTACCAGCCTGCACCCAACATAAGCCGAGTGACATCTCTGCTACTGCAGAAGGGTAGCCCAGCCCTACCAGAGCACAAACCTTCTCCCTGCTTTGGGATTAGTTAATCCTGGCTGTCAACCCCCCACTGACATGCCAGGCTGGATGCCATCACAGAGCTCATGCCAATAGGCCCCAGCATTTCTCCCAGGTAGGACACTGCTGCATGAAGGGAAAGGGTAGGTGTGGGTAAAGGAGAACAGATTTGGCAAGAGACAAATCATCCCCTTGCTTCCCAGCTGGTCCTCAGATATCAGAGGGGCTGGGGGCAGATGAATTTCTCCTAACAGGTACCAGTGAGAGCTGTGATTATCAGTCTGACCCCAAGTGCATGAAGAGCCTGGTTGCATTCAACAGAAGTTTGATTCATAAATAGCATGAGTTAGTTACACACAACATACAGGGTCTTTATGATTGATAAATACACTAAGCTGCAGGCTAAGCTACAGAGCTCTAAAATGCAACTGCGATTATTATTATAATCATCTCCTGGAGGGGAGGGGGGAATAAAATCACTCAGCAGAGTTGAGGATGCAACTTTTCCCCAAAGGCAACCCTGCTGGGGAGGGGCAGACCAAAACCCACCAGTCTGTCCCTACAACTTGATGACAAATTCTCCTTCCACAAACTGGATCCAAACAGGGATGATATTTATACCTCTTGTTACTGAGCAAAGCGTGGGGCTGGGGCTGTGGGCAGACAATTATTCTGTGTAATTAGCACAAAACTTCCTTATCTGCACCCACAGGGGGTAGACTGCCACGAGCTAGGTGGGAGAATGGGGTAAGCAGCCTCCACTGCATCCCACATTTCCTCATCAGTGCCTCAGGGACACAGAGCACTGAACCTTCACTCACCCCCCATCTGCCCTGGCACCAGGTGTTTGTCAGCAGTGCTGAGCTTTGTGCTTTCTACTTGTTTCATGATTCCTGGGTCTGACAGGATACTAGGGACAAAAACCTTTACACAGGACAGCTTTCTAGTAGCTCCTTTCCACCAGAGCAGTTGGGTGGAAAAAAATACCCCTGCACAGGAGATTTCCTCCTGAAAGCCACAGCACAGCTCAGTGAGCAAAGCCACTCACACAACCAGTTACTGGGAAGCACTATGCCACACACTCTGAGCCCATGGAAAAATGCTTTGCTGGAGTGATACACCAGCTTCTCCACACTGGTGAAGCAGCACAGCCACAGCTTGCAACTGAATTTTCATTGGCCTGTGAGAAAAAGGCTGGAAAAAAACCCACAAAACAAAACCATGATGTTCAGAAGCTATTTCAGCAGTGATGCTCACTAAGCCTAGAGACACAGTGACATTTCCTGGGGATAATGAAGAAAACTCAAAGGACAGTGATATCATTAATGGCCATTTTAGCACCAGCTTGGCATGAACTCTATATTTTAAAAAGAAAAGCTGTACCTCGTGTCCTGCAGCTGTCTTCTCCACTGAGGTAACACAAGGCAGTCTCTGAGCAGCCACTAGAGGAGGGGTTTGTCCTGCAGGTGGTTTTTCAGTTAGCATCAAGCACTGAAGGTTAACACCAAAAAAAAGGAAAAAATTATTTTTGCCTCACCAGGAACAAAAAAAAACCCTTACAGCAGAAGCTTTTGGGTGCAACAAAACGTACCTCACTGTGATCCTCAACCAGAAGAGTCTCCTGGGTCCTTGCCCAGCCCACCCTGCAGAGAGAGGGCAGCAGGATTCCCTTCCCCTCAGCTAAGGTCTCTGAGGGGGTTTGTACTGATGTTGCCTCTGCACCTTCAGTTCAGTCCTCTTTAAATCAGTTTTGACTTGAGTTATGCTCCTCTTCTTTCTTCACAACAGCCATAAAGCACCATGGTGCTGCTGTTCCTCCCCTCCTCACCCAAAGGAGCTTCTACAGAACCACCTCCTTTGAAGGGTGTTTTTAAGGGCGGCTTCTTTGGACACAGACACTTCACATCAGTGACACACTCTCACCACAAGCATACACATAAAATCCCTCCTTTTTATTATGGCATATGGTATTTTTTTTGGATGTGTAAATACCACATGGGTATGACAAAAAGGGTAAGAAATACCAATGCTGAAATAGATACAGAGTCATGCCATTATCAATACAGTTTCATACGATGGATTTTCAAGATACAAAAGTCTGGGGTCTTTTTTTTTTTTTCCTTTTTACATTGAAATAACTTTACAGTGTTCTGTGAGCTTGCTTTATAACCAGAAGAGAAAAAAAATTAAAATATACTGAGAACAACTACAAGCAGAATTCATTTTAATGGTTAACAGAAGAACTTTGTAACTTTGCTCTAGAACAGCATCTATTAAACACACATAACAAGAGGTAAGCAACTATACAGAAGGTAAGAGGAGATTTCACCACAGGAGCCAAGTCAGGGGCAGGAAGAGGGGAATCTGGAACTGCATGGTTTTATTTGGTCACAAAGTTTGAGCTGAGTGTTTAAAATGAAGCACCCTTAAAGATGCAGTACTCCTATTTAAAACAATACAGAAACTTCCCAACTGACTAGAACCTACATTCTGGAAAAAAAAAAAAAAAAAGAATAAAAAAAATTAGACATTTAAAAAAATTCCACACACCTCTAGGCTGGTGACTTAACTTACTGTTACAAAGTAGACTGGCAGCTCCTCCTTAAGCAGCAACAGTGCCCAGAAGTAATGCCACCATAACATACAGTATCTTTGGGGCGTCCAACACAAGGCTGACACTTCTAACACCATGTCAGAACGATCCATTTGTCTGCCAAAAGATTAGGCAAGAAAAGGAGACACTGCATCTTTTTTTTTTTCCCCCACCACGTTGGCCGAGCTAAGACGTGTTCTTTGGGCCAAGACTAACAGAAACCACTTAATCAAATATTCTTCAGGTTTCCTGCCAAACTGGATTTATTATTCTCATGTGGGTTTTTTTTTTTTTTAATATTTTTTTTTAAAAACATTATTTCCTGACAGTCTCTAAAGTGATACTGGAACGTTTAACAGTCACTCTTCCACAGTTTAATTGTTTTGTCGTTTTCTAGTGCCGCTGATGCAATGATGTTTTCTGTTGGGTGACAAGCTGTTGAGATGACCACATCTAAACAAAAACAGAGATAAAAATATCATTATTTACAGAAATGAAATCTGGTTCATAGCAGGCATGCCTGAAAGTGGACGTGTATTGCTACTACACTTTAAAACAGCACAGCCTAGTTACAATTTCCTTGTAGCAGAATTGCAAATGTATTACTCATCAATATTTTCCAACTATTGTTTCTCTGTGAGAGGACATACCAGTGAAAAAGAATTGAGTGTAAGTAGTTAGAAAGTATTTGACAGGTTTCAGAACATGAGAGCTCTCCAGATTCTAGTTCTTGCTTACTTCACAGGCAAAACTCTCAGTATATTACATCAGAGACAGCTAATAAAAAAACAGATCAGATTTTTCTCTCTATATAAGATATTTCCAATGTCCTTTTCTATGCTTAGATCCTACTTCATCTTCAGAGCCTTGCCCTAACCTGACAACAAAATCCTGCTGCCACTGCCCCAACGTCCAGTCCAAATCAATGGTCCTGCAATGGACTAAGCATGAATTTCACAGCATGGTTCCTTCCCCTCAGCAGAAAAGTGCTGCTCTCTTATGGATTCACACTGAAGTACCCACCAGGTGACAACTTGACACATACTCAGCTCTGGCTTCAAGAGCAGGTATGTACACACAGCAGCACCACAGCAGTCCTCATCCTCTCAAGAGCTGCTGCTTCAGAGCATGATAGCAGGCAACTCAAAGTCACTAATGAGTCGCTTCATTATCTTGACCAGTTCTGAACCCAAGGAAATCTCATTTGTAAGCTGATGTCAAAGTCCTCACAGTGAAAGAATAAACACTTGCAACAGCCATAAAAAACCTTCATAAAAAGGAGTGATCTCCTAGGGTTCAATTAAGCTTCAACCAGCCAAGAATTTATGGGTCTGACAGTGAAAGCTAAACATCAGAGAGAAAACACTCAAGCTGAGCTCTCTTTACAAGCTGGCATGAGGGACAGTCCATCAATAAAACCAAAATCCTCTTCCACACCTGTGTGTCCTTGTAATTTCTGTACAATCTCTTTTGTCTGAAGGTTCCAAATGTAAACCAGGTTGTCTTCTGAACCAGACACGATCCACTGGAGGGGCAGAGAAAAAATAACACAGTTACTTTAATCTTTCTCCTCATCTATAGGTAACAGATTACTCAGTAAACATTTTGGGTTTATCCTACGAAAGGGATCTTCCAATGCTATATGACTGCTGAATGTGGTTCATTCTCTGACAAGCACCCACTAAAGGAGGTTCCCATCCCCAAACTTGTTTCTTCTACAGAGAAAAGCTGTAAGAACTGCACATTGGTAAAAAGCACCTCAAATAAACACTAACCTTCCCACCAGTAACGGAGAAATTTGCAAATATGCAGTACTTCTCATTTTTGTGTCCTGTGTACGTCTTCAGGCACTGCAAGTGAAGAGCCACAAGAACATTAATACAGCTGGGAGGCAGTTCTCAGTCAAGGACAAACTCTTGTCAGAACAGACTAAGCATATCTGGTCTGTGTTTCCCACCTTACCAATTTATCTAGAGGACGCAGAGGGCATCTCTGCTCTAGAACATTAAACAATTTTGAGGAAAGAAGGGGAAGAAAAAGCCCTGTATTTGTCACTATCAGAAGAGAGTAACAGCTATTTATCTTCATAAAGAAAAAAACACCCAGAAAAGTAGATATAGTGTCTCAGGGCTATGTAGGAATCCAAGCACTTTTTTTTTCCCCAAAGGCATGTTTAGTCCTCTCCAGTAAAAGGATACTAACAATATTTTCTATAGTATTCATAAAATGTTAAGCAAGTTTAAAAAGCACATGTCAAGTCTAGATTTTCCTATAAGATTAGTTAAGAGGCAGGATTTGATTGGTTTTACCTTTCCTTTGCTGTAGTCCCAAAGTTTAAGAGTGCTAGAAAACAACAGAAAAACAAAGATTTCAATTCTTGGCTTTTTGTTTTTCCCCCCCATCTAACAATTTTTTAGCAGCAGAAAAAGTTTCTCCAGAGCAGAGTTTTTGAAGTCTACATGGATCACTTTAGCCAGGCTTTTGGATTGCAGCATTAGCTAAGTCTGTTTGTACAGACCAAGCAAGCAAGCCCTGTGCACATCCAGACACAGACCATCTGAACCAAGGCCACTGCCAGAGCTTGCAAGGAAAGTCTCTTTCCTCTTCCCCAGGGAGTCTCACCTGGGTTTTCTCTGGAAAAGTCTCAAGAAAGCAGCAGCATCATTACCATCTATGAATGGAGATGATAGACCAGCTAATCTCTTCTTGGTAGCTGCACAGAAATTCTGCAGGTGAATCACTCTCAGCACAAGCAGCCCACCTGCATGGCTTTTATGCCTTCCACACACAGTTATACATTCCAGTCATTCATAGGCTGCATTTTCTGCCTCTCAATGTTACAAAAGGATCAGACAACTAATGCACAGAAATGCTGAGGTTTGGAAAGGTGCAAGAAGGAATGAATGGGTGTTGCAGTCACTGAGCAGTGCCCTTTAAGACAACTCAAGTCCTGCCTGTGCCATTAGCAAAGTACAACACCTTGAAGGCTTTCCAGGTTTTATAGTATGCATGAACTTGTGTAGTACCACTGCTACAAGAGCAAAATAGTCTTAGCTGATACTCCAGCACTTCCAAACCTGTGGGTTTTTCTTTTTTACTTACTTGTCCAAAGTTGCAGCTAGTATGTATTTGCCATTTGGGGAGAATTTCACAAAAGACACAGGAGGGTTATCATCATCTGCAGTGAAAACAGAAGGAGTATGAAACAGTGCTCAGTTGTGTCATCTCTTTGACAGCAAGTTTCTTTTCATAATAAATTGTTAATTTAATGAGTCAACATGCCTGGAGGGGTTTCAAAGCTGTGGAGATGTGGTGCTGAGGGACATGGTGACCTGGCAGTGCTGGGTTAACAGTTGGACTTTATGATCTGAAAGGTCTCTTTCACCAAAATTATTCTAAGATTCTATTATATTAGAACACATGTCACTGACATGTAGCACCCTACAACCTGTCTACATTCACAAGATGCCTTCATGCATCCTGCCATAAAAAGGCAGCTTGCATAGTCACAAGCTGCCCGTTTCCATCACACCCAACAGCACAAACCACCTTGGCCTTGCAGTTTTGAACCACTGCACAGCAAACACTACCCAGCTGAATGGCTGAAAATTTTGGAAAATTCTCATTTCTCCATCTGTAACATACAACACTCACAGCTTAAGCAAGTCTGCATTCATGTGTGAGGATAATTCATCTTATTGCAATAGGCAGGAGGACAACAGTGTACTGACAGAATGGTAGTAAGACAGTAAAAGGGAGCTGAAGGAAGCCACTGTTCCCAGCAACAGTGCAGAATATCTATGTCAAAACAGCAAAAAATAGAGCACAAACAAGAAATATTCCTACTCACCAATCAGTGTTTTCAAGCACTGGCCTGATGCTGTATCCCAGATTCGACTATTAAAAACACATGAGAATCATTACTATTGGTCATGAAGACTTTGTTTTGATTTTAACATTACAAACAAAAGTTTTTTTGTTAGAAAAGGTCCTTTTTTAGAAAAAAAAAAATGCAAAAAGCTTGAACAGAGAAGAAATAACCACTTACCAGAGTCCATCATAGCTACTTGACACTATCAGGGATCCATCACGATTAAAATGCACCTGTAATATTATAGAACAGGAAAAGTAATTTTACTGATCTTCATTAAGATCAATTTTAAGCTCCACTGAAAGTACTTGTCTTCCATTACTGACACTAATTGATGTGGGTAGGAGCAGTGTTGAGTTTAGATTGGTAACATCATCATGACCAAAATTCTTTCCCCCCTAGTTTGCCTGGTATAATTATAAAGAGGGATGGTTGTTAAGGACAGCTGTTTATTCAAGCATCAGGGACTGAAATACATTTTTCTTCAGAAGCTAAGAACACATGAACACACAGATATTCTGTTCAGACAGCAGTAGCAGGAAAAGTAATTTTACTGATCTTCATTAAGATCAATTTTAAGCTCCACTGAAAGTACTTGTCTTCCATTACTGACACTAATTGATGTGGGTAGGAGCAGTGTTGAGTTTAGATTGGTAACATCATCATGAGCAAAATTCTTTCCCCCCTAGTTTGCCATAAAGAGGGATGGTTGTTAAGTACAGCTGTTTATTCAAGCATCAGGGACTGAAATACATCTTTCTTCAGAAGCTAAGAACACAGATACTCTGTTCAGAGAGCAGTAGCTGCTCAAATAACAGTACTATCAAACCTGGGGATAGTACCTTAGAATTAAGGGTGTGAAATTTAACCTCCTTTTCAGCCAGATATGTTTTTCAGTCAATTTTTGACTTGAACTACACCTCAAAATACTGCTATTTTAGAAAATAATTACTGCTAACATACTTTTTTAAATATTAAATAGCTTCTACACAAGGCAGAACAATCATGTTGCAACAGCCATGGTTTAACACATCTAAGTCTCAATTTTTTTTCAGTTTCCCTAATTTCAGAAACGTTGAGATAAACATCTTCTGGGTTTCCTTCATTTGAATGGATATTGCTGTATTCCAAGCTCCTTTCACTTATTAAATTGATGAGATTTGAAACAGAGTATACTACAGAGCTACTCTGCTCTGGACTTTAGTAGTAGCTTGGAATAACAAGACAGCAACTGATGTACAGGTTGCTCTCCAGACCTCAAGAGATCACAAATCTATGCCCCAGCAGCAGACTGCTAGATTCAGGCACATCACTATTCACTGCTCCCCACATTCTCACCCAGGACCAAAATCCACACTGATCTTACAGAAAACACTGTTCATGTCATTCTCATTGAGCAATGAGCACTGGGAAATCCACCACAGCCCATCCACTATGATACAGAAGGGCTTGATAATGAAATTTAGAGGACAAACCCACTCCTCTAGAAACAGAAGGAGGAGGGGAGTTCAGCTAAAGAAAATGAGCATGTTAGTGCATTTATTTATCAGAAGGGACTTACAGCTGAAACTGGGTCAGAGTGAGCAGGCAATGTCTTGAGGCACTTCCCTGTTTTCACATCCCATATCCTCACGCTTTCGTCAAACTGAAGATTGAAGAAATGCACAAGGTGGTTTAATGATGCACCTATTTGAGGCATGCAAGGTGTTACAGCTCGACTAGAGGCACGTGCCTTCCTCCAGCCTGCACCAGGAAGCCTAGGACACCAACACCCACAGGGCAAAAACAACAGCCTGGGACAGAGCTCCCTGAATTCTTCTTCGAGCGTGTTGAGGATGGGTTAAGGGCTTGACTTGTGTCCCCAAGCAAAGCCAACAGTGGCTCTGCCCAGTTCACCTGACTACAGAATTGAAATGTTGTGTAGAGCATGGGGCCAGACTCTTCTCAGTGGTGCCCAGTGACAGGACAAGGGGCAACAAGTGCAAACTAGAACCCAGGAGGTTCCATCTGAACAGGAGGAAAAAATCCTTTCCTGCGAGGGTGCCAGAGCCTGGCCCAGGCATGTTGTGGAGTCTCCTTCTCTGGAGAGATCCCAAACCCACCTGGATGCCATCCTGGGCACCCTGCTGTGGGTGAGCTGCTGGAGCAGGGGGGTTGGATGAGATGATCTCCAGAGATTCCTTCTAACCCCACCCTGCTGGGATTCTGTAAGGGGTTGTGGCCAGTACCTCCTGCTCCCAACCCCTGGTAACGTGGCTAACAACAGCTAACACCATTTAATAAGGCAAGCAGCTGTTCTGTGACTGAGCATGTCACATATTTATTCCCTTTCCCTCATTATCAGACCCTGAAGGTCCAGAACAAAGCAGTTGTTCTTCCCCTCCCTACCAGCCTCAAGACTCCTGGGCACTGGGACAATTACTCCCCTACACACTGGCCTTGAAGGTTCCAGGCACGTGGTCAGCCCAGTGGTCATCACCCATCCCACACCAGGGAAGAGTCAGAGCACACAGAGCACTGTCTACAAAATCAAGCAGTTACAAGTCCTAAGTGGGGAACCTGGGCCTAAACTGCTGCTGGACAGTGAGACCATGACCCCTCTGTGTAGTCAGAACACCTCCACCATCATCTGCTTCCTCTGAGGACTGAGGGACTGACTTGTTTGGTTTTATTTGATATGATTTTCATGTCTAGATTCTAAGTGTTATATTGCTACATCAAAACATGTATTAAGACCTGACCTGATCTGCAAAGGGTCCAGGTGATTAGAAGTCATACTTTGAATTAAGTTAGAATCTAAATGATTACAAATTTTAAGTTGTATTATCAATTCTGTACTACACTACCTATAAATTGTACTAGATTGATTCTGCTTGCAGAAATCCTGTGCCATTCCACCATAAATTCTGTGCTACACTACTCATAATACCCTGTTAAGAAAATAAAGCTTTAATTCTAACTACAATTCAGCACCATCACCATTCTGCCAAGGACACCTGAAAGAACCTGCCTGTCTCTTTAGTGCCAGGTTACAGGGGGGTGCTTTGCACAAAGAGGGGGGAAAAAAAATATCACTTACTGATCCAGAAACGATGAGGTTTGACTGAGGGTTGAAGTTGCAGCAGAAAACATAATTACTGTGCCCTTTCAATGTCTTTAAGCACTTACCCTAAAATAAGATTGAGCAAAGTTAAATGTACAGCATCCTTCAGCACAATAAATGCATCCCGATAGGGTGCATTAAGGTTTAGCACTGTGCAGCACACAAAGAAACCATCTCTAACCCCAGATTTAGATGGGCAAAGGACCAAGTAGAGCAAAACAACAAGAAAGGGGAAACCTCCACATCTGTAATGATTGCAGCCAAATTGCAAACATTTTGGGCAACTCCAAATAACCAAGCAGTTTAACAGAGCTAATCAAAATTCAACCCAATTATCCCATTTTTATTGTAATCACAAAAGTAAAAGGGAGAGAAGGAAAACCAAGCAAAGCTCTGATAAGAAGTTACAAAGTGGTTTCATCTGAGAGGCTGCTTTCAGAAACAAAGCCTGCAGTTGTACTGCCACCATAAGGCTTAAGTGCTCTCAGAAGATAACCAGACTCCTCAGGGTACCCACAAGCATCCTCCTCTCAGGAAGTACCATCTCATGCTTCTCCTCAGAAGCAGACAGCATAACTCCCTCATCCTCACAGCCCACTTAACCAGCAGCTCAACATAAGAAGGAAAGGCTGACATAGGAATGACTGAACAGGATCCAGTGCTTCAAACTCTACCTTGTCTCATCATAGCACATCAAGGCTGCCTCTCAGAACACAGGTTAAGATGCCAACACAGGGGAGAAGGAAGGTGAATAACAGTTTCAGCCCTTACCGAGCTTACATCCCATATTTTGAGGGTTTTATCATCGGAGGCAGAGACAAGAAGGTTGGAATCTGATGACCAAGCAACATCAGAGATACCCTAAAACAAAGGAAAACAATTCTCTTCTCAGCTCTGTTTGTTCACTGACACAGGGAAACGGGAAACACACACTGCAGATTATATTCACAGCTGAAGCTTGAAAGTTCAGCATTCAGAGTTGGAAATTCTTTGATTTGACTGGGTTATGAACTCCTTTGATACTTGTTCATTTTCAGCTGAGCCATATACTTCAAAAACATCAGTGGCTCATTCACATTACTCTTGCTGTGACCACCAACACCCTTTCTTGGAATTCATAAGCAGTATGTTAAGCAAACTGATCTGAATAAGCAGCTTCTCTTCAAGACAAAAGGCTTCCCCTTCACAGTCTGAGTCCCTACAGGCTGGAGAAGAACAAGATTCTACTGGTTTTCCTTTTGGTGAATCTTCATTTATTGCTTATGAAACTTGGGCATGTAGACTTCAGAAAACAAAACTGAAGGGTTTGAGAGTTTGCATTTTCTTCAAAACTTTGCAGAATGAGTAAGTGTTGTGTTTATGTAGGCGAACCCACAAGGAAAATTCAATCTCCTTAAAAGGCAAGCCACTCTGCTCCACAGACAAGGGAAAGATGGAACAGCACACAGCATTAAAAGTTTACAGGGATTTTCACCCAAAAAGGCACTGCCCCATGTCTGAGGTGGGTGCTCCTGACATGGAGGGACTCCAGAAAACAGCTAGGCAGTGTGAACACAGGCACTTCATTATCAGCCTGTGTTTCACCCATATTTCCAGCCTGACCTGGTGTTACTTCAGCAATTCCAGCTCCAGGCTGTTGTATAAACACAGAAGTGCAAAAGAAGACTGAAGAACAAAACTTCTACACAAGTCAACTAAGAATGGAAATTTCTGGATGAGGAAAAGAAAGCAAAATTCTTTACAAGGAAATTCATATTAAGTGCCCAGTAACCTCCTCCTACTTACCAGTTTATGACCAGACACTGTTTTTTCAAACTTGCCATCATATGCTCCCCAGATTTTAATGAGTTTGTCAGCAGCTGGAAAAGAAATTAAGAGATTAACAGCACTAACAGATACAGCTGTCCCTTCCAGGTGGGGAGAATATGTTCACTGTATCTCTGCAAACACTAGGGAGCTCTCTCCCTCTCCCCCAGACCTAAGTGTATAAGGTAGTATGTAATTGGTAACAGTTCTGTGCATGCCAAGCTGCAGCAGCTGAGGTTACATAAACCCCCTGGAATGCACAGAGTCTCCAGCCACTTTAGTTTCTCTGATGACAACGTGGGTTTTTACTTTTGTTTTAGGTTGTCAGTGGTAAAAGCAGCAGGGTTCCATAGGAATGCTGAAAAGCTTCTGCCCAGAAAGAACAAAACTGACATCACAAGCTGGACTGAATTAATGCCTGCAAAAACCCAAATGTATTATCTGTGTTAACCTGCAAAACACAGCAGAGGAAAAGATTATCTGCCAGAGGTGGAGGTTGGAGAACCTGGGTAGGGGAGAGAGGGGATCCTCCCAAGGATACTTTAACAAAAAAATGATTTATATATGCACACCTCCCTGGGGTAGCTGAAGGCTCTGATGTAGGAAATCCCACAGGCACACTTGCAGGGGCATGTGGCCAGTCCTCCACACCATCCAACAGTCCAGTCCAGCAGCACAAAGCCACCTTCTTTAATTCCCAGAGCTAAGCTTTTGCCTCTACAGAGTTTCATCTAAAACCTTAAGCTATATATTTAATGATACAGAAAAGAACCAGGGTTTTCTTTGCAGAGGAAAAAAAATCTTGTGCTCACTTTTGCTCAGTAAAGCAAGCTCAACAAGTGAGGATTCTCCACCTTGGCAACACATAGAAGATCCAGTCTTCAAAATAATGGAACTTAAAAAGCTCAGAGCAGATTATCTCAAAGACTGACAACTTTGGTATTGTTCCTCTTTAGAAAAACCATGACATGACATCCCTCCTCCATCTGAGGTAACACTAAAGACAGGCAGTTCTCCAAGGCTGTATTTGCATGGTTTAGATGAGAGGAAAAGCAAGCAATACTTACAGGAGCTGGCTAGCCACTCTCCATTAGGACTGAACTTCACTGAGGAGACTGCCTTTGTGTGTCCTGCTAACGTGAACTTCAGGGCATAGTTTGGTTTTACTGGTGCAGGCTGGGAGGAAATACATAGGAATGAGTTGAATAAATTCCCAATTTGGCATCTCAGTGGCAAGGTCTGTATCAGACTGGGTCAGGACAGTCACAAACTGCCTGAAACCCTGTTGGAATAGAGATTCCAACATTTATGTTTTCCTTTCCACCCTCTGAAAATTCAAAAACAACCCCAAAAGCAACCAAACCCCCATGCTGTCTGGGGCCAGCAGTGCCTTGCCACTGCATGCACAACACCAACTCATCCTTGACATGAATTTCATCCAAGGCAATAACAAAGAGGTTGAGAGTAATCCAACAGTCCAACCATAAAGTGCTTCGTAGATCTAAATAACACTCTTGGTATTGATCTGTGTAGGGCTTCTAAGGGTTTGCAGTTTTCATCCTTATCATGAATTAAATCACAGGCCAATTGCTCCCTACTTCTAAAATACTATTTTTCTTCCCTTTTTCACCCTTTGCAAAGGCTTTACAGTTAGACAGCAATATCTCCTTTGAGCTATACAGGCTTCAAGGAATCTGAATAGTGACTGCTTTCCCAATTCCCATCTGGGATGGTAGATTCACCAGTTCTCCAGACACCTCTAGGCATTCCAAAGCTACAAACAACCTGCCTTTTAACCCCAAAACAATGAGAAGCATTCAGTTAGCAAGAACCTCCACAACCTCCCCGAAAACACTCCTAGCCCTACAGACGAGGCTGCACTCCATCTGCTTTCCCCATTAAATCCTCAGTGTTTTTTCAGCTCAGAAGAGCAGAAGCAGAGATCTGGAGATGTTAATCTATACAGGAATGCAGTTCTCTGCTTCTGGCTTGCCTGTTGAATACACAGGTAGCTTCCATGTGTCTTTACAGGGATATTGTTCGGAGCCCCACACACACCTTGCTCTGATTGGTCGAGGAGGAAGGAGTAGATTGTGTTTTGGTGGATTCTGCATCTGGCTTCTTTTCTTCTGTTGCCATGGTTCTGAAGCTGGCAAATGAGACTTATGGTGCTTGAAGGGGAGAATGAATGCACTGCTTCAAAAGGCAGCCCTCGCCACAGAGAGGGGAACCGCGCTGAAATGAAAGCCTGGAATAAACACAAAATATTCCCATTAGCTGTCAAAACGATTCTATGGCCTAGGATGAGGAGATCAGCTTAACTGCAGGTCACCAGAAACCAGTAAGAAAATGTGTATTTTGCAGCTGTTTAGCAACACAGCAATATTTTTAGGCCTCCAGACCTACTGATGTGCAAGACCAAGAACCTGAGCCATGGCCTTTCATCGCTTCCTGGAGAGCTTTTCTCCACACTGCTCCATCCCAAATAGAAACAAAGCAGAAGAGCTTTTAGGTGTGGCAATCTTCACATCACATTCCCCAAAATGCTCCTAACAAGTACTTAGCACACAGTAAACACAACGGTTTGTACAAAGGGTGGAAGCAATGGCACAAGGCCTCTTTTTCAGATTAAGGTACAGCACAAGGGCCATGATGACTGTTAACCATAACAGGCATTTCCAAAGGTTAAGACCCTACTAGACACCTTTTAGCTTGGAAATCAAGTCTCATATTTCCCTCCTAAACAGTTTGACCATCAAATCACACCCTTCCCCACCCAAAACTTTGAGAGGAGAGGACATCAACCCTGTGCTGGTCTCACCAGAGCCACTGCCTGTACAACAACCCGGCCCAGCACTGGTGCTGCAGCGAGAACAAATCTCCACTGCAGCTCGGTGACGTTTCAGCTCAGTAACGGATCACCCTGAGAGGATCCCAATACCCCACGACGGCAACCAGGCTGTGGGAGGGCGGTGGCAGATTTGGGAGCCAGAGCAGCGAGCGTTTGAAGCATCTCCTGCTCGGGAGGGCGCGGAGCGAGGCGCTGCCAGCTGCCTGCCCGCTTTTGCAAGCCCTGTGCCCGGCGTGGAGGAACCGCGGGTGGCGACAAGAAGCGAAAGTTTCCTCCCGCCGCTCAGCCCATTTCCACCGGGTCTGACCCGGGAGGTCCAGCTCCCGCTCCCCTCCTCACCCTCCCCGCTCCGGCAGCGCACACCGCCGCACACCGAGCGCGGGGGACTCGCCGGAGGCGACGCGTGGTTCGCCC